GATTTCACATTTTTGTCAGTTGACACTGAGGGAAAAATGACACTGCCTTCTGAGCCGTGAGACTGCGCGATGCCATAGCTTCATTACAAGCTTAATGTTCAGCTTACACTGTCTTCACTGTTTGTGGAAGAGAAAAGCATTCTGTCCTGCATATTGAGGTACAGTGCGTTTGTCCACAGGAAAAAAAAGGAAAAAGGAAATGGGCACACAAGAGCCTGAGAGCATTTTGCCCCCGCCTGCAGTGAGTGCACCAATCCATCTTAGGCGTTACATGACACGAGCCTTATCTGACAGCAAAAGTCACTGAGTGAGCCACTGCTCACTTCTGAAAACTGAACAGAACAACCTCACTAACAGTGTCAGCAGGGATGCGGGGGAGATGATCGAGCTGGCGTCACCCATAATTCACTCAACTTCATCTAGAAGCTGTTAATCTTGTCTGCACTCCTGTTTCTAACAAATCCTATTATTTAGATGTGTTGAACCTAAAACAAAAGAGTATGCATACATCAGATACGGAGCAATTTTGAAAGTGAAGCATGACCTACCTGCTCAGAGGAACGTCAGGTGTCCAGAAAGGAAAAACCCGAGCAACAGAATCTCGCATTTGTATTTGATATCCTAAGTAGAAATAAGTGTCATGGGAAAATTTGAGGGCTAGCAAGTCAGTCGGATGGTTCTGTAGAATCCGTTCCCATACATCACAAGCTTTTGGAAGCTGTCTATAAACAAGAATTTTAATCGTTGAAAGAAGACATGCATACCTGCCCCTGCTGTCAGTTCTAAACTCCTCCTATTCTGAAAAAGAGAAGATTCAACAACAAATGCCTTTTTCTTCTTGAACAAATTTTAGTTACGTTTGTGTTTTCCTTTGAGAAAAAATGACAGTGTTTAAGCAGGGCACTTACTGGGAAATCACATGAGAAGTGCTCTTACAAAAGCTGCAAAAGGCAAGGAAAAAGAGACAAGCTTGAACCATAAAGATTTTCCCGAGATTGAACGTGAACTTGGGACAGAGAGATCTGCTGCTACCTGCTTGGGAGCTGGAAGGCTCTGCAGATGGATCTGGAGAGGCTGGATCAAAGGGCTAAGTCCAACTGCATGACATTCAACAGGGCTAAGCCCCCAGTCCTACACTGGAGTCACAACAACCCCATACAGTGGTACAGACTTGGGCACGAGTGGCTGCAAAGTTGCTCAGCAGAAAAAGAGCTGGGGGGTGGGTGCTGGCTGACAACCAGCTGAATGTGAGCCAGCAGTGTGCCCAGGTAGCCAGCAAGGCCAATGGCATCCAGGCCTGCATCAGAAATAGTGTGGTCAATGAGAGGAGGAAAAGGATTGGGCCCATACTCAGCAATAGGGAGGCTGCACCTTGACTACTGAGTTCGCTTTTGGGCCTCTCACTACAAAAATGATACCGAGTTGCTGGAACACGGTCACAGAAGAGCAACGAAGTCAAAGGGACTGCAAAACAAGACATTTCTGGAGCAAGAGAGGGAACAGGCTGTTCTGTTGGGAAGAGGCTAAGGGGTCTACCTGAAAGGAGGTAGCAGTCAGGGGGCTGCCAGTGGAACAGCTTCCCTAGGGAAGCGGTGGAGTCCCAGCCCCTCCCTTCCCAGAAGTATTTACACTGCAGAACCTGGTGTAATGACGGAACTTGGTAGCTCAGCCTGATCATCGTGAAGATGTTTTACATGCTAAGCAATTCTATAATTCAATAATTAATCTACAGTCACAGGCACACAGACACCTTTGTTCCAGTGGGAACTGAACTCACACTAGCAGGGCTTCGGTAGCTTCCTCTTTACCTTTGCTATGAATTACGTGAGGTAAAGCCATGTTCACTTGTTTGATGAACAATAAAAGTGAATGGTTTCTTCTCCAGAGTGCACAGAAATTCATCGTACTGAATGGAACAATAATGCTTTACAGAACTGCTGATACTAGCATCTCCCTCTCCACTTTCTGACACTAGGAGCACTGGAACAGCTTGCCCAGGGAGGCCGGGGAGCATCCTTTAATGGAGATATTCAAGGCTCATCTGGACGCCTACCTGTGCAACATGCTGCAGGGAACCCACCTTTGCAGGGGGTTTGGCTCAACAGTTTTCTGGGGTCCTTTCCAACCCCTGCAATTCTGTGAAAAGTACTTTTGAAGAATTGCTAGTGTGGGTTCAGGACTGCATTATATTACACTAGACCTTCGAGGAGTTACGCAGAGAAGTACCCCATTTCTGCCTAAGGCAGCAGTACGCTGCAACAGCAAGAAGGCCCTGAATGACAAAACCTGCCACTGTCCCCTTCCCCACAGGGCCAGCCACTTACCCACTGGCAAACATGTCCAAGGCCAATACGTGAAGCTTCTCCCGCTCAGTCAGGGGCTGAGATCTCGACAGCGTCATCATTGTTTTCAGCGCACTGCCCAGATCTCTGTTGAGCCGCACTGAGCTTCCAGTGCCAATAAGCTCCAATCCGTTAGCAATGACATGTCCCATGACTATGGAAATCAACAAGTCACATCATGAGCAGTACAGCTATGAACGTAATTCATCTCTACAAGAGCATGAAGAGGGTTGGGTTGCCTTGGGTGAAAATGGGTCCCCTCTGTAGCAAAGACTCATAAGCTTCCAGTTTTCATTGCCCTTCAGGACAGGCATTACAGAGGACTTGAGTGAGAAACACGGAAACATCACCACAGCCTGCTCCCCCCTCTAACGACGAATTACAGAATTCTACCCCACACACCAGTTGCTACTGGCCAAAATGAAGTACAGTGAACACAAAGAAACAGGGTAGAAGGGCTGCTCCAAAAGTAATACCTCCCATTTTATTACACTGATCCACAACATGGAGGTGCATATGAAGCAAAGTAGTGTCCCTGAATTCCTCCACGTGGAAGCAATGACAACTATGGACCTTACTGACGCCTGCTGAACACTTATGGAGACCAAACAGTGGGTGTCAACACAGCGAGTTGGCAGGTGATACACTTCAGCAGAGCCAACAAGAGGCCACCTCTGCAAGTGCAGATTTTTACGAGCGTGGCACACAAGCTCTCGATCGTCCCTGGAGAAAATCCATAGCTAGCAGTGGTCACTATGTTGAAAAATTCTGTTCTGTAGCAGAAAAAGAGCCACATCAAATAACACTATTGTGCTCTTTGAATCCGTTGAAAGTTAAATGGAAATAAACAAGAGGCATTATTTTGGAGTGATTTACGTAGCATCCAGCACTTCCCGTGCAAACAGCTAAAGGTTACACTTACCAAAATTTGGATCTGCAGCCTTTAACTTGGAAAGACACCCTTCAATACCTCCTAGATTCTCATCGTTGCGCCACGTTGCATACTGCAAAAGGGAGAGACAGTGCCAACGACACTGGGCATCTTCTCGTTCTCCCACACAATGACAGAATGGCTCGGGCTAGAAGGGACCTCCAAGATCATCTAGTTCCAAACCCCCTGCCACTGGCAGGGTTGCCAACCAGTCAAACAGGCACTAGATCAGGTAGCCCAGGATCCCAGGCAGGTTAAAGTTAAAGGAAGCAACACAAAAGAGAATCTTTACACTCAGTCCACTGAGTTTACTTAGGAAGAAAACAGAGAAAATGTCTTCTTTAAGGTACTCTGGACACCAGCAGAACTAACAATCTTCACTTTCTAAGCAGCATACGTCTCCTCCATGATTCTCTAGTGTGAGGGGTGATAAGCACACCAGCTGAAGCTTCTCCCTCAGCTGCAACACTCAGCAGAGCTCCCTGCTAACTGGGTTTTCTGCTGACAGCCAGTGGCTGAACTCAGCCTCAGCCTCAGGCTCAGGTTCCTCAGCCTATTCCCAGAAAATGTGCAAGAGCGTAACACCTCTGAGACCACAACTCACCTGTTAGATTTGACTCTGCTGTGGGAAAGAGTCACGGGCGTGCGTCTAAGTACACACTAGCAGTGACTGCTTAAGTGTTCCTTCCTCAATCGATAAAACTAGATCCATCTTCTCATCTTCCAGACAGTCAGAAATTCAAAAGTCAGCTACAGCAAAGACTACTTGGTGCACAAGACCCTCCTTCTCTTATTTTTGCTTCATGTCATACCTGGCTTAGCGCAGCATCAAATAGCTTACAGGCTTCGTTGCTAGCGGTCGACAGCCCAAGTCCAGCGTCCTGCCAGGCCTGCACAATAAACAAAAAAAGAACTGCTTATTCCATGCCCTGCTTGCCCACACACAGCCAGCAGACTTCAAAAGCGATGATTTGCTGACGCTTTTCAACTACGTTTTCTTGTTGTGTTCTTGTGCTGTACAGACAACTTGGGCAGCCACAGAAACATTTTCTGCAGCCGTAATTACATGTGACATTACGTTATGACAATCAACTCCATTAGCTGTGGTTAGCAGTGGGGAGGAAGAACCAACACACTGTAAACGGTAAAACTTAACGGCCTACAGACCTCCAAATGCAAGAACGATTCTCAACTCATTACGGTTCCCTTTTGACAAGTTCCTCTGCTGCAGGCACACCTCACGTGGAACTGCCACATGCTGAATGAAGGCCCTGGTTTTCTGCACCTCACAGCAGAGCAGTGCTTTCCCACACAGGGTGGCAACGCAACCACGAGTTGGTCACCTCCCAGTCTCAGGTGCTTCCTTTGCCAACTTAATCACACACTGAGTTCCATCCTTGTCAAAACCAGTAGGTAGACTGGGAGACATTTTAAAAACGATATTCTAAAGATTTCTCACTGAAATTTCGTTAAAGGCTCACATTCCAACCATTCAAGTACCGGAGAGTTCACACTGCACGCCTGGAAGTACTCGACAATATCAAATCACAAACTTTTTTCCTTTTCTTACAACACGCAAGCGTGAGTTCAGAAAGAAGCGAGCAGAAAATCGCCGAGAGAGCAGCCGAGGCAGGGCTGCAGCTCACGGGTTACCTGCCTTCCCCCACAGGGAAGCGGGCAGCACTCAGCCCGCCGTCCGAGCCCCAGGGCGAGCGAAGCTCCCCGAACAGCGCCTCTCGGGACGACCCCGGACGAGGCCGCACGGCGCCAGGCCCGGCTTCCCGCGCCCCTCCCAGCCGCAGCCGCCGCAGTTCCCAAGCACGGGCTCCTTCCCCGGCGGTGGCCGAAGCAGAGACCTGCTCGCCCTCGCCGCCCGCTCTCCCGGCAGCTGCGGGACCCGCGGGCACAGCGGGCACAGCCGCCCGGCCACCTGCGGCCGCGCAACGGCCCCTCGGCTCGGCTCCGTCGTTGCGCCGCTCCCTTCCGGCCCACCCGTACCTTGCAGTCCCTCAGCGGTGCCATGGCCGTCCCACAAGCCCCTCTCAGCCTTCGCCCGAGCGACTCCGCGCTTCCCACAGCACGCAGGACAAGGGGCCGGGCCGGGCCGCTCTGTGGGGCGGGGCGGGGTCGGTCCTCCTCTCGGCGTGGCGGCCCCGCCGATCCAGCCGCCACGCTGAGCGCCACGCGGTGCTGCCGCCTGCCGCTCTCCGTGCGGTCCGTGGCCCCTTTCGACAGCCCGTCCCAGGGGCCGTTTCGAAGCCGACGTGGTTTTTTGGCAAGCCGCGCCATGGAGGAGGGCGGCAGGTACCGGTGTGCACGTAGAACGTTCAGGATTCCGAGGTCGCTAGCTGACAGTTGGCGCAACGCAACCAGCAGCCGTCGGCTGGCCGCGCCGCCATGCCGACGCTTTCTCTCGGCCGTCGTGCTGCCATGCCGACGCTTCTTTTTCTGCTCCAGCTGCTCGCCTTTTCCCTGCTAGCCCTGCGAGCCTGCTCTCCGCGCATGCAGCCGCCGCCCCTGGCGGTCAGCTGCCTCGGAGCTCCCGGACGCGGCTCCGCAGGGCGCAGCGGCGAGGGCTGGCTGTCCTGCCTGGGGAATGGCACCTTGCGACTGCGGTATGTTGGAAGTATCCAAATAATTTTCTAGTACGGTTTCTCTGAGAAAGCAGATTGTATTCGCAAT